TAACTGGTTGACCAGTACCAGCAGAAGATATTAGTAGTCTCTACATCAAATGTCAAAGGTCAGGCTGTCCTCAAGTCTGACATTTATTTTAGATTTTGCTTATAAAGAGACACACTGCATTTTTCTATGTTTATGGTTTAACCATCCTGTTTTGTGCTATTATGTTTATATCTAACTTATGCCAGCGTCGATCAGTCAACACATTTTTTTGTCTTGGCAATATTCTAAACTGTAACCAAACAAGTGTCTCCAACCTTCCGTATTAATAATTCATTTGCCACTGAATAAATTATTGAAACATACCCGCTGGACAGCAGCGGACAGGGAGGGGAAAATACGGAGAGCGAAGGCGTCTCACTGCTGTTGGACCAATCAGAGGAAGAGCTCCCACACTCCTGCCAACATTCAGCCAATCAGAGCAGCACTTCCTCCATTTCCTGTTGTGGACTCGGACTTGGACAGGGAAATCCTCTGGTCCAGAATATGAATTAAATGCCGCTGTGTGCTCGAATGACTTTACTCTATTTGTCTTCAGAGGTGTTGCTCGTGACCGAGCCGCGTGCGTGAGTACATTTTTCGTGTGGTTTGATCTTTCTGAGCCATCTGACGGCCGCCTCTATTGCCCGGGCATGTAAACAGCTTATAAACCCAGTTTGCGGCATATGAACCCATGCAGGCTGGCCGTGCCATCACAGTACACATCAGTGGATGTGTCCTGCCTCCCGGGGAGGACATGTCCACTCACACCAGCCTTTATTGTGTCTTTTATTGTGTCCTAGCATGGCTGAGGGGGACGGCAGGGACCGGCTGTTGCACCTGATGTCATGAGGCGTCTGCTGGCATTTCCTTGACAACCGCCCGATCAGATCCATATATTTATTAAGGTAGGCTCCCGTGTCAGCCCACACGTCTGTGTGCTTGTGCGTAAATATCCACTGCAGCCTGAGAGCCACAGCAAGTTCAACCAAAGAAAACTGCAAAATTGGACTGAATTTACTCCAGGGTTCCTCTCTATTTCTTCACACCCACCTGCTCGTTTTTTTTTATCAGAATAATATATAAAGTTTGAAATGAACGCATTTGCATTTTTGTCATAAATAATGCAGATGGAAACCTCCGCGTAATGCTAAAGGTGGCACTGACAGCTACTGTCGATACTGTAGCGGATTAGTATTAGTGGGTGAAGTGTCAAGGTAACAACAACACTAAGTTCCGGTTTGGATTTTCAAATTATAGATGTCCAGTTTTGAGCACATTAAATTGGAAATACTTTAAAAAATAAAATAAAAGTGCCTCTATAAATATACGAATTAAAATCATTATTATCACTATTGTTGCTGACTGTGCCAAACACTAAATAAAAGTTGATGGCATCCTTGACTTTATATGATATGATAATGGCCATTTCTATCATGAGATAATACATTGTTTTTGTTTCAAGTTTCTTTTTTATCACCATTTTAAATTGTCCAAACTTTATAACAAGTTGAAAATGTTAGTGATAGGGTCTGTGATTATGTGTTTCATTTGCATATGTGTGAGCCTTTGGTGTTGTAATCGTCATTTTCAGTAGAGTTACTGAAAAATATTTTCATTAGGTCCTAATGATGTTCTTAGGTTTTCAGCCAAAACTTTAAATAGTTTTTAATTGCCCTATTTAATTTTACAATGTACTGTAGTGGGAAGATAAATCCACTATAAAGATAAGGTCAACCTCAACCCTCTCTTTTCTAAACCTTAAGTACATTGTCATTAAATATTAACAAGACAACTAGAAAAGTTTGGTTCTGTCTACTGTTTTATCTTAAGGGAACACCATGTCCATCACGCTGCTGTGGGCTGTGGATGTGTACGGCAGAGTGTACAGCCTCTCCACAGCCGGCCAGCAATGGGTGCGCGCCGACGACATGCTGCTGGAGCTGAAGCGCGTCAGCGCGGGGAAGGGCCGCTGCTGGGGCATCGGCTGCGACCACCACGTTTACCTCAACATCATGCCCAGTGAGACATCCATCCGCTACCGGGAGGAAACCTACGAGAACCAGGTCAGCCGAAGCCGTCTGCAGGCGCCCTGAAGCGGAAGATGTCGTGCCTCTTCAATGACGAAACTCTGTTTGTCTAGCGGTGGAACCCAGTGGATGGCTTCACTGATGTCCTGCTGCCCACTGACCGCTGGCCGTGGAGCGACGTGACCGGCATGAATCCTCAACCTCTCCAGAGCTTCCAGCTGCCCTCCCGCAGCTGGGAGTGGGAGGGAGACTGGTATGTGGACCAGAGCTGTGGAGGAGAACCCAGCCAGACTGGGGTGAGAAGGAACTCAAGCCCAAGACAACAAAAATATGTCTAATCTTGACTCAGAAAATTCTTCTTTGCTCATGTTCTGTATACTTCCCTGACTCTTTAGGGCTGGGAGTATGCTGTGGATTTCCCTGCTAACTTCTCTCCAGACAAGAAGTGGAACTCGTGTGTTCGTCGTAGACGTTGGATCCGTTACAGAAGATACACTGCACAAGGAACCTGGGCAAAGGTTTCCAGAGTCTATTTTTATTATTCTGTATTTGTGTAAGACCCTCTCTCCATGGTGTTATCACCATATATATTAGGTGTAGAATATGTGAGCAGTTCAAACCTTGTACTGTGTCCCGATACTGCAGATCCCCTTGGACAATCCCAAAAAAACCCCTCTGCCACTCTGTGACATCAGCTGTGGTGGCTGGGAGATGAGTGATCAATCTGGAAGGTACCCCTACCTCTGGGGTGTGTCCCAACAAGGACAGGTGAGTTTTCTTGACCGCCGATGAACACAAGCATGCATCTTTGCATACATTGGACTGTATTGTGCACATGGCTGAAAATTCTGGTATATACTTTCTTTTTTTAACTTTATGTCTCAGTCAAGCATGCAAAAGTTTTAACCATGTGAGGTTGCTAATTGTAAAGTTAAAGAGGAGACTGGTGCAAAAGGAAACTCTCCTGCTGGTAGCACAGTTAATTTTTGTCCACAAGAGGGCAGCATGACTTCAAACAAATGACAAGCTCCAAGTTGAGGGTTTGCTTTTTTCTCTTTTCAAGCCAATTAAATACTGAATGACTGCTGTAATGAAAATAGCGACCATATATCTTGGTATGAGATAATTTTGAGTTAAAATGTGTAATGTGTGGTATTCACCGGACAGTGAAATCCTTTTGCCACTTCAGGTGTGGTTCAGAGAGGGTATCCAACCTCGTGTTCCGGAGGGGACTAGTTGGGAGGAGGTGGAAGCCCCCAAAGAGGTGGCTCAGCTGTCGGCCGGCCCTGGAGACCTTCTGTGGGCTCTGCTGTGGGATGGAAACCTGCTGGTTCGTACTGGCCTCAGCCTGGACAGCCCCACTGGTCAGCATCAGCTGCAACACATATGTGCTCCCTGAATATTTCTCAACTATTTTTCGAAGGGGCCCTTTTCAGATAGATAGATTTAGTATTGTGCATTTTCTCCCTCTTTCAGGCATGTCCTGGGTGGAGGTGGAATCCCCAGTGAAGGAGGTTGAAGCGCTACATGTGGCTGTTGGAGTCAGTGTGGTCTGGGTGGTCACTAAAGACTACAAGGTGAATCACCAGTGCTCGCACGTGCAACGCTCTGAAAAGCTGCGGAATAGCCGTCGCAGCAGTTGCGTGTTTCTTTTCTGAATGAATTTGTGTGTAGGTGTGGTTCAGGCGTGGCGTGAACTCCCACAACCCCTGCGGCTCTGGCTGGATCAGCATTGGGGGAGAGATGATGATGGTGGACATTGGGCTCAATGACCAGGTGAATTTTCAGAATCACCCCTCTAATACACTTCTTAGAATCTACTTACAAAAGTTCTCAAATATCAAAACTTGCTCCAGAAGAAAATTAGATTTTATCAAACAGACACGGTAACACTTAGTTTTCCTTGAATCTCATGGAAAGAAGTAGACTTCCCTGTGGATAGCTTCCCCTTGCTAGATTCCCCTCACCCTTTCTTTGAATCTGGTATCTGGATGGGCCCGATTGGGGCTGAGGTGGAAGGGGAAACTCTTTGCTCCGTGTCTCACTGCTGAAAACTTTGCTAGCACTGCAAACTGGCGTTTCACACCTCCTCCCTATCTGCCTCTCACCTGCGTCACCACTCTTCTCAACCCCCCCCCCTGTCCCCCTCCCCCCACCTCCACCTCCGCTGGCCTGAAACTGCCTGTAACACGAGTAAAGCCGGCAGGTCCAGCCAATGTCTCCGCAGTAGCGCCTCACGCCCAGCCTTATATATCCCTGGACTGTATTCCCACTGGCCCGACATATGGGAGACTCCCTAATTAGAAGCGGGCCAAGCCGTCGTCATCATATTCCCATATTTCATAGCTGGGTCTTGGTATGGCTTATGTGAGAATGCAGGAGCCAGCGATACAGTGTGTGCTCTTATAAAGTAACAGCTGACGGCATCCTGTATGTGCTTCTGCTGGGTGTTTTTAAGGAGTGAATGAAACGTGTACGTGTAAATTCACCGTGGTCGTTTTTGTTGTCGCCTCTACTGAGGGGGAATTTATGTTATAGCTCAATAAATGAAACCAACATTCGCTGTGTTTCGATGTGCAGCTGTGCTCATTATGTTTCACTCTTGCTGCTCCAAATAGATTTCATTCTGTCCCCCTCTGCTAGGTGTGGGCGGTTGGTGAAGACCGCGGCTTGTATTTTAGGATGGGTGTGACCCCGCATGAACCCAGTGGAAATGGCTGGATCCCTGTTTCTGCCCAGTGGGGCTGCAATAAAGAAGGCCTGCCACCCAGGTTTGTGTTGGGGATCCAACCGAACCCCACCAGCATGTGAACCCCAGAGCATTCAGATGGCTTTGTCTAACGTCTTTTGTCTGTGTTTTCCCCGTTGCGGAAAAGGGATGACGGGGAGTTTAGCGGGCAGCTGACTGAGGCCTCACAGGGCTCGGTCCTGAGCTGCACCGACTCCGACTCCGAGTTAGGTCCCGCCGATCCACAGCACAGTGCTGCTCACACCCCAGTCCTGGAGGCAGAAGCCCCCTCCATCGTCCCGTTGGGGGGAGCCGACACCCCCGCGCCGCCTCAGGAAGTAAAAGACGCCCCCGCGGCCCCCCAGCAAGATGCTCCCAAGGCCTTCATCCCAACCAGCGACAGCTTCATCAACAGCCTGGTGTCGGACCGGGAAAGAAGCTCCACGCCGCAAACGTCCATCAGCGAATTACCACAGGAGGAGGACGAGGCTCTGCCCCCGGCACCGATCCTCCCGACCCCCCAGGCTGGGGGACACGACGTGCCCTGGATGAACGTGGACCTGGAGGGGGCGGAGGCAGCCCGGAGTGCTCTGGCAGCAGGGCGCTCATTGGGTGACGGTGCCTCGGCAGCCACCTATGCTCTGGGGGCTCTGGACAGCTCGAAGGGCATCGGGGAGGAGGACGGGCCAGTGTGGGCTTGGATTACTGGTGGAGGCTGTGACATTGATGCCAGTTCTCAAATCAGCTGGCTCAGTCCCACAGGTATACGGACAAGTCTGATGGTCTCAAGACTGCTGTATTTAAACGTTGGTCCTATTTAAGAGTGATAGTAAAATAATCTACTGATAAATATGTGATATCAGTTCATAAAATGATGTACCCTAAACATCAAACACCATGTTGTTTCACAAAGGCTAACATCCAGGGTCTCCAAATGAGCTTTTAGAACTTGTAAAATTTCACTCTGTGGAGGAATTCATAATTACAAGAATATAAATGCATGTTAGTTAATCTGGGTCAAGGATGTAGCCTTGACATTGATAAGTGGCCTAAAAGATCTCGCAAAAGCCTGCAGCTAAAACCAAGACTGGAAAAGTCGATTTGTGAGTTTTTAAAAATGGTTCCAGTGATCCAGTTGCTGGAGGAAAAGAATTGATCAGAATCTGAATTTCTTTTTCTTTTCTTGTTGTATTTCTTCCAACCTTTTTTTTTTTTTTTTAAATCTGCAGTATAACTGCAGTTTGTACCTCCATGGTTGGCTGTCTGACTCTGACTCGTGTGTGTGTGTGTGTGTGTGTGTGTGGTCATCAGGTCCTCTCACCAGCTCGTTGTCCCTGACTCCGGTCCAGTCAGCAGCCTGGAGTGAGCAAGCTCAGCAGCAGGAACACAGAGAGGAGATCAGTAAGAAACCGCTGGAGAGGAGCAACGTAAGAGAACCTCTCTTCCCTTTTGAGAATTGAGGACATATTACTTTTATTCTGTGTCACGTTTGCCATCTCCATCTGTGTTTCCCTCACCAGTCGGTGTGGGTGCGTAAAGGTAGCCTGCGCTGGTGGAGAGACTGGAAACCACAACGCTGGATCGATGTGGGCGTTGCTCTTGAACAATCCACAAAGTTTGATGGCAGGAAAGACAGTATTTTCTTTGTCTATTACACACAGTACGACGAGAAAAAGGTACGTTCTGCTCCTCATGACCCGTTTGGACCATTGAGGGTCACTTAAGCACATGCTGTGGACATCATTTAAAAATCAACTCACTTCCGAACCCACTCACTCTCTCCTTGTGTTTAGTACCTTCACGTGTACATAAATGAGGTGACAGTGTTGGAGCCGGTGCTCCGGGACTGCCCCTATGCCTTTGCTGTGTACACAGCAGAAAGGACCAAACAAAGATGGCCTCTGGTCCTGGCGGCCCAAACCGAGCAAGACATGAATGACTGGGTAACAGTTTTTTAATTTTTTTATAGAAACTATTGAAATTATTGTAAGCATTTTTCTTTATTCCTCACTCAGTAATGACAGCTTAAAGCCGATCACGTTGTTGTGTGTGTCCTTTCTGGTTCAGTTGCACCTGTTGTCTGACTGTTGCTGTGAGTGCCGAGGGATCAGGGGCCCTCCAACCAGACAGGCCCTGTGGTCCACCACTTCAAAGGGAGACATTATGGTTCACGAGCCGTCGGTCTGCCTGGAAGTTCCTGGACAAACTGTGGCCTGTGACCACATGTGAGACTGATAACCATGCAGTGGATTCTGCCTGTCCGCTTTGCATGCCTCGTTAGAATCTTTCTCATAGCCTTGACTTTACTTTCTCACTCTGTTACCTACCAATTAACTTGACCGTAGGGCTACGTTCACATTAGTAGACACTAGTACTATTAAAAAAAAAAGTGATATTTAAAAAACATAATGTGTATTACCAATTACAGGAAGAGTCATACTAGAGATTAGATTACGACACACTTTAGGACAATGGTTCTAATTCTAACACCGACAACAAGAAAAACTTGATTGCTAACTTTAGCTGTTCTGTACAGATATTTTTTACTGTACTACTCATCTTGCGTAGTAGCTGATCAACATACAGTTACACAAGACACAGGACAGACGGGAAAATAATGTGTGTTCACGGAGACATGAAATAAAAACTGTCATGCGAATGGAAAACATGACATTTGAATCACTTCATCTTACTAATGCGAATGTAGCCTACTTGAGTTTTCAACCTTTTTTGTGTCAGCTCTGTTTGCTGAAACGTGCTGAGGCTAACGCTGGGTGCTTCCGCTGTATGGTGCTGCAGGTTCTGGCGGCAGGTCCCGGGCCACCTGCGCTGTGTAGAGTCTAACAGTCTGGGGCTGGTGTGGGGCATCGGGTGGGACGGCACCGCCTGGGTCTACAGTGGGCCCAACCCGGGTAACACATGTCCCGCAGACAGTTACCCTAGTTCCCCCACATCTCTTAACTACGATGGTGTCATTGGTTGTGGAATTGGATGTACTGTTGCTTCAAGTGTTTGCTGATGTGTATATGTGTAAATCACAAGTGTGTGTGTTTGCATTTACATTTGTCTGTGTCTATTTCCCACAGGAGGTGTCACTGATATGCACCAGCAAACCGATGTCAGGAGTATACACGTGTATGAGAATCAAAGATGGAACCCTATGACTGGATACACAGACAAGTTGGACATCTTCATCTCCGCACGTTTCATACATTTCTCGACCGTACTGCGGTCTGAAATAATGAACGTCCATTTCATTATTGACTCTTCCAGAGGACTCCCGACAGACCGCCCCATGTGGAGTGATGAGAGTGGGCTGAAGGAGAGCACCAAAGGCAACACACATCCACCTTCCCCTCAGTGGTCCTGGGTAAGTGGACACCAAGAGTCAACCCCTAAAAAACTCCACATTTTTTCTGTCTCTTTTTTTTAGCTGTCAACTTTGTCGTAGGTGTCAGAGTGGGTTGTGGACTACAATGTCCCCGGAGGAACAGACAACGAAGGCTGGCAGTACGCCGCGGACTTCCCCACGTATGAAACGGCTATTTCAGAAAATGTTGTCTATTAGTAAAATCTAAATATAACAAAGAGAGTCGCTCCACATGTTTGACTCGGGTCTTTCCTGCAGGACGTTTCACGGGCACAAAACCTTGAAGGACTTTGTAAGACGCAGAAGATGGATAAGGTACAGGTTTTGTTTGTATTCTTTTTTTTCTACAGCATCGCGATAATTGTGTTTCTCGCTCACAGGAAGTGTAAGATCACTGTGAGAGGTCCATGGAAGCAGGTGCCGCCCATCTGTCTCAGTGACATCTCTCTGATGCCGTGTCTGGCCCAGAGCAGGATGGAGCAGGTCCCGGTCTGGGCCCTCAGTGATAAGGGAGATGTGTTGTGTCGGTTGGGAGTCAGCCTCCAAGACAGAGCGGTAGGGAGCGTGTTGAAAATCTGTGCTTGATCCTGGATTCTGGGTTCCTGAATCATAATAATCTCATTCATTACCTCTCGTGTGTGTGCTCTCACAGGGCAGCTCCTGGCTTCATGTAGGCACAGACCAGCCTTTTAAGTGCATCTCCATTGGCGGAGCCAATCAGGTGTGGGCCATCGCTAAGGACGGAGCCGTGTTCTACAGAGGGTCAGTGTCCCCACAAAACCCTGCAGGTCAGTCAAAGTGTTAGCTAATATGGAAAGCAGTTGAGTAACACAACTCCATTCACTCGGCGTCCAGCGATTTAACCAGTGAGGAGTTACACATTCCGAGGCCTCTTCTTCTTTTTCTGTCCTTCTGCAGGGGAATGCTGGTATCATATCCCATCTCCCCTGAGACAGACTCTCAGACAGCTGTCTGTTGGACGGACTTCTGTGTTTGCTGTAGATGAAAATAGTAAGCAGCATTAGTGTTTACACATTGTGAAACCCTTTTAAAATTTGCGGGACTTGGGTTGAATGGCTGCGATCTCTCCTGACGCCATGCAGGTAACCTGTGGTACAGACAGGGCCTCACCCCCAGCTACCCCCAGGGCTCCGCCTGGGAGCTCATCTCCAACAATGTGACCAAGGTCTCTGTGGGACCACTGGACCAGGTCAGTGCTACCACAGCTGGTATAAAGGGAGCATCGGCCATGAGATCGGTTTCATGTTGGAAACAAACAAAAAAAGATCCTCCGAGAAAAGCTATATCCAACTTGGTTCAGATTCAAGACAATCCCCAGTCCCAGACCCGATGTCATCCGCTTCGTCAACTGATATTTAGAAGCTTAGAGTCGGATCTTCTAAACCCATGAGAGGCTATATTTATATAGAGTGATAAACCAATAGTTAAGAACCTGGTTGAACAGACAAATATTCATAAGTTGAAGAAATTGATTTCGGAAAGTACCCCTTGAGAGACTGAAAAGAAAAAGTCAATCAGAAGGGTTCATTAATATCTCTTGATATATGGCTCCAATTTCCCAGTTCAGTTTAAAATGGTTTGCTAATAATGGTAATAATTCTCAAACATTCCATTTACTCACCTCATTTCATGCCTCAGAGAAGACAAAAAAATTATGAGAAGTGGATAACTTCAGGAAGCTGCTGTGCTGAGGAAACAAATCGCCTCAGAGCGAGAGATAAATTGATCGAATTAGCTGAGTGCTGCCATTCTCTTCAGGTTTGGATCATCGCTGATGGCGTTCCAGGCTTCCCTGCTGAGACGCCCGGAGCCGTCTGCCACCGGCTGGGTGTGGGCCCCATGCAGCCCAGAGGCCAGTCCTGGGACTATGGCATAGGGGTGAGTCTCCGGCCATTCCACGTTCCCTCGATTTAACTCTCATTAGGCTCACATCCATCATGTTTAATCAATTAAATTATCGAATACAGGTCAAATCTAATTTTCTCAGTTGAAATTTACTTAATAAGGAATCATTAAAGGTTCGGCAGCTCAGGAAAATACTGGCATATATTGGCTCTGGAATAAAAAAGCTTTAAAGAGGTTTCTATGACATTCCACTTGCAACTAGTCAAGAAACTGTCTGATTTCAGGGAGGATGGGAGCACATCAGTGTGAGGGGGAACTCAGCAGAGGCTCCACGGGCCCCCCCCCCCTCCTGCCCCGGGCTCCTCCCGCAGCCCAGCCCCTCAAAGGGCGCCGGCCCAAGCCAACGGAAACGCCGTGTGTGTGTAGCGTCCCTCCACTTCCTGCTCCTCCTCAGCCCCGTTTGTGCCTGGATCTGCATTCATCCCCACGGACCTTCTCCCACATTCCCTACCTGTGAAGGGACAGCACAATCAAACCACCGAGTGTTTAGTCAGATTTCATCGACTGAATGTCACTGCCGGGCTAGTTTCCCAGGCACAAAATAATTTAGTGTTCGGTAGTTGTTTTTTTTTGTTTTGTTTTTTTCACACTTTGCTCTAAAAAGAAAAACAACCAGCGCATGTTTTTGTCCTACTAAGGCTTTAGCCTCTGGGTATTATGGGATGGAGCAATAGCTTTTATTTGTTCATGCAGAAACCAGAAGTGGATCACAATGAAGGGCTACAGTCTGGTTACCAAACGAACTTCAGACACAAAATCACTGTAGCCCGGAATGGGTTAGTTTGTTGTATTCTACTCTATGTTTTGTTTGTTTGGATGTCATTTCACCTATTTATTCAATTATTTATTTTGTCTTTGTTGAAGTTTGTTTCTCCATTTCTTTTGGCCTGTTAAATGTTTGCAGTGGAGTGCTTTTCACCCATGTTGCTACAACATGCCTTCCGAGGGCTTTTTCAAATTGAAAACTAAGAGATATAATCACTGTATTGCTTTTACCATCAGATCAAGTCTCTCCATCCTCTTGCGGTAAAGAGGTCGCCCAGTTAATGTAGACCCCCATCCATGGAATAACTATGACCCTGACACTGCAGCAGGTCTGAATGTCATCATGACCAGATGGACATTAATTTGTTAAGGGCATTGACACGTGAAATAAAAGTCTAAAAATACTGTTACAACCCCTGATATCATTACAGAATAAAAAACGGCAGTTTCTCCAGACCCATGGAAAGTTTCCAGGCTTTTCAGGTTGTCCATTCCACCTCTTGTGACGTGTCAGACTCATCTCATTACATTTTGCTATACATTTTGTGAAGACACTCACGTTTCTGGGGAAACTTGAGGTCCTGTTCATGCAGTTTAAATCCCTGAAACATTCTGTTGACAGATTCCATTATGTTTTGATCTGATCAAAACTGACAGTGCTATGAACAGTTTACAGAATTCAGTCTCAGAGTTTAGCAGTCTTCAAGCTCCAGAAAAAGAACGTTTAAAGAAAAGCTCATTTCTAAGTTAAGCTGTGGAGAAGTGACGAGACAGAAAACCTTTATTAGAATTTGTTTGCATTTATTTTCATATTAAACAGTGTAATTAGAAACATTTCATTCAATTACACTAAACAGGATCAATATGAAGTAAAAATATTTAAAATCTACAGGTTTAAAGGACAGAATGAATTCAACATCCGCTTTTGTGTCTTAATTTAGATGCTTTTAGCTGGAGACTGATATGTTCCTCTGATTTCACTCAGCTTTAAGTTACAAAATGAAACCTCATACCTATGACTCAGTTCCATCATTTCCCATTTACAGACCAAAGAAACAAAAACAAAATATATATATATATATATTTACACACATTAGAACATTTCAACATTAACTTACAATTTTCAAATGTGCAAGATTAAGCAAATGTATACTGTATTCAATTAAAAGATTTCCTTAAATAGATGTTCAAGTTTAACTGAAACACAGGCTGCTGGTTGGAACAGAAGTTAACATTGTCTAAGGTACAGTGCCTCTGGATGGGGCAGGTGAGATGGGCGGCTATCTACTGCAAGTCAACTACAACTGTTGTCAGTGACAAAATATTGAGGGTGTTGGAGTCATCGGGAAAGATCCATACAGTAACCGTATAACCTACAGTTTCAAAATGTTACAGCTGTATAGAAAGACGTGAGGGTAAACGCAGATCCTCTTTGACAACAAATTGCATTAGGCTATTTTTTTTCTCTCTTCTAAGTAGGATATTGCAATCTTTGACCCCAAGTTAGAAAAAGAAAAAAGGCAAACAGCTCTGCCCATGACACTGATTATAAAAGCAGCCACGTTTCTTTTCTTCTTTTTTGTTCTAGTGATGAGCTTTCACAAGGCTCAAAAGTCCCTGCACATCATCAGATCATCCTATGAACGCGCAACTTTAAGCTAACCCTTGAGATTCATTGCACATTTGTTTACAAACAGCTGGCGACATTTCTCCATCTTGACATTTAAAAATAGAATCTTTTGACTTTTTTTTTTTTTTTTTTTTTACACCATCTCACTTAACGTGTGATTTGAATATTCTGTAGTGTTGAATGGAGAGCAGCTGTCTTTGCAGCATCAACAGGCACCACAATTAGACCCAGTGATGAGTATTCGAAACAAACAAGAGTAAAGCTTTACAATAAGAAAAAAAAATCAATAATTAATATGTTCTCATTCACAACTGTCTTACAGTTGGATCAACCTCATCAGGACTGACAGAACAATCCCTAACCTATAACCCGTCTGCTTACTGTGAAGGTTCCTTTCAAACACAAAGGAATAAACAGTGCGTCACTTCTGCAGATTGTAGCTCGCACAATCATCCCACCATCGGATGACGTGTCCACATTCACGATCCTTTTTATTCAAATACTGCTACAGAAGGATTCCACACAGTTCCTCTCTAAAGAGGAGATCATGATTTAACTCAAAGAAAGTTAAGGAAAAAAAAAAAGGCAACCACCAATATAAACGCACAACATGAGGATACTAAACAGTGATGCAGATGAAACTTTTCATTTGTAGGTCTGACTAGATCAAAGAGCTTATTCCTGTTTAGTTGTAGTGATTATTTTGCCAGCTCAGTGTGTTCAATTCATCAATCCAGAACATCTTTTTTTTTCTTTTTTTTTCCTTTTTGGGGGAAGCAAAGGTCTGTTACCTGCTTTTTTTCTTTTTTTTTTCTTTTATCATCCCCTCCCAAAAATGTAATTGCATGGAACGGACATCCCGACACACATATGTAGCTGGACAGGTGATGTGGCTCAGACTGGGTGCATTGTCAGTTTGGTGGCCACTCCGCTGAGAACGATTCTGCCTGAGAGAAGCTCCCCACACAGCCTCATTTGTCCTTGTTCAGCTGCTCCCACTAAGGGAAGGTGCAGCCTGGTTTCTCAGTAGTGCGATGATAAATGATCCCTTCATTTATCAGTTTAGTCTTTTTCTCCATCCTCACTGCTTCCTGGTGTGAACAGAAGTGAATTAGGACATTTTAATAGCTTTGCACCACTAAACATAATGTTGGACAAGCAGACTCCCTCACCAGGCGACTTCATATTTACTGACAGATATGAGAGATGTATGATTTTCCTTTTAACTCACCCCCTTGTTCGATGTCAGAGTCGGTAAGATGTGTGAGGGAGAAGTTAGCAATGCTTGCTGGTGAGATGGAGAATCGGGAGTAGTTTGAGGAGCTGCTCCAGCTGCGCTCCAGCCCTATAGCCGGGCCTGGCGTTGACATGGCCTTGGAGACGGGGTGTTTATCCGTCTTGGGCAGGAAGGCGGGTGCATGCGAGGTAAAGTCATCGTCCCACTCAAAACCACCACCTGAGAGTTCCGCGGATATGTCAGAACATCACAGGGTAACATACCGACCTCAGAAGGCAGGACCAGTCCTGGCCTTACCTTCTTCATCCGTGGAGCTCTCGGAGTTAGCGAAGCGGTTCAGGTAGCTGGCAGTGGTCACGGGGCTGCTGAGCTCTGGCGGCTGACTGTTGGAGCCTGAGGAGAAGTCGCCCAGTTCCTTTGTGGGAGTCTCCTAAAATGCAGTGAAAGAGGAAATTAACATGAAGGCTACAAAACCCCACAGATATCTCCTCTGCTGCAGGTCCGATACTCTACCTGGTCAAACAGGTAGACGGTGACATCATCGAAGAACGAAACGGCTCTCCTGGAGTTCTCCGTGCCCCACCTCACAGGGGAGGAGGCAGATGACGCCTCGATTTTCAGCGTGGTGGGCTTCAGTAAGCTCTTCAGGTTCTTCGCAGGTTCGTCCGACACGATGATGGGCACCGTGTGCACGGCCTCGTCCTCGCTCTCCGAGCTGGAGCTGTGCAGCTGGTACGCGCGGATGTCCTCATCCGAGTCCTCGCTGTTCTCGTCCTCCTCATCGGCGTCGACGCCGTCTTCCTGTCCGTCCACAGCGGAGCCGTCTCTCCTGCCCAGGTAGCGCCCCTCGGTGTCCGGCTCTTTGATTTTCTGACAGTCGCTGGCGTTGGTCCGAGTCAGCTTGGCGTGGGGGTTGCTGTCTGGATCTGCTGGGGCAGCAGAAGGCAGTGTTGCGATTTCCGGATCTTCTGATGGGCTTAGCTGATCGAGCTCTGGTTTATTTTCGGCGTCATTACAGCTGCTCGGCTCCCTATCGTGTTTCACTGTGGCATCTGAAGCCCCGGCTTCTAGGTGGGCATCAGTTGTTTCTCCAAGCTGGGCCTCTTGCTCGAGCCGTTCGGCGGCTTCGGGGGATTCTTGCTGGGAAAACGAGGCTCCAACATCTGTGTCCTCGCAGCTTTCCAGTGCTGGAGCTTCAGAGCTGCTTGGCCATGTGACTTCGACAGCAACCCCTGCGGTGGTCTCTTCAGACTTCTTCTCAGTCTCCGATTCGTTGTCGGAGAAATAGGCAGAATCTCGGTAGTTGCTCCCTGCGTGCGGCTCCTCCACAGGGCCTGCAGCACCCGGCTGCTGACGCTCACGGGGGTCCTCAGCCTCAGCATCCACTGCGGTCTCCACTTCAGAGATGACGATTTGTGGTGGAACCATGTTGGTTGTGAGCTCCGCCTCTTCTTCTTCAGTGGTGCCCAGGCCATTTTTAAGGGGGGAGCCGTCTTTGACATTTGGCTGAGAGTTCCACTCAGGAGACTCCAGGTTCTCAGTCTCATAGCCACTGTCTGATATTTTGAATGGAGGCTGGAGTTTGTGTTGGGCTGTTTGAGAGCTCAGATCGTCTCCCTGCTCCCCCAACCTCTGTATGTCCAGAGAGTCTAAGGAGTCTGGTGTTTCAGCTGAATTGTCCACGGCTGGAATATTAGTGCACATGCTGTCTTCCAATAAACTGTCTTGGCTGATTTGGTCCAAGGATGGTCCAGAAACCAAGAGGGATGACTTAACAAGGTCATGGCCATTGGTCTCCATGAAGGACTCTTCGTGGTCAGACAGAGTGGTTTCCAATTCTATATCTGCATCCTCGATCAGCTCACTTAACAGATCGTTGCTTGTTAGGTCTTCGTTGAGTCCGTTTTCAGAGGACAGCGCTTGCTGGGTTTCAGGCATTTTACTTCCTTTAAGGTGAGCAGTGACCTTTGGGGCTGGGAGATCATCAACAAGGCTGGGGATATTGGCATCTGTGCACAATGAGTCCGTAGTGGCACTGTTAGATAATGGAAGGGAAGGACCATCAGTTTCATTAATGAAAACCTCAAACCTTTCTGAGGTAGAATTAAAGCCAGAGTCTACACCTCTGTCTGAGGATTGCAGTAGACCAAGGTCTTCAGTGGAAGAGCTATTTCTAACTGGCAGCTGGTTGCTTGCGTCATCGTCTGTGACCACTGTAATGGAAGGCACCAGTGTTTCGTTGTCGAATGTAGAAGGGCACGACTGCCCCAGGTTGGTACTTTGAGAGTCTAAAAGTTCATTTCTCGAAGATGTGCTACTTTCTGCAGATTTTAGGTATGTGTCTGCTGTGTTTAAGCTGCCTAGAGTCTCAAGGTTGTCCCAGGAATTCATTCTGAATGCTTCCTCTGGCTCATGGACAACACCAGGTAAAAGAAAATTCGGCTGCAGAGCTGAGAAAGTAGAGCCCTCTTTCATCAGGCTCTGGTCTCTGAGGAACATGTAGTTATCAGCGAGTTTTTCCGTACTGAAAAGCATCTTACCATCCCCGTTCTCTTCCTCTCCGTCCACAGACCCTGACAAACGAGAGGCGTCCTCTAAAAAAGAGTCTCCGTAGCTTTGACTTGTATTCATCTGGGTGAAAGGGTTCCCACAGCGCTCTGGAAGCTCCAAAACATTCTGTCTCCAGCAGGGAGAGTCCTCTTGTTTGGGCCCCTCCTCAGTGAAAATGTTGGTGTGGTAGGGGCTGTCATTTTCCAGAGATGACCAGATGTGGCTATCTGGTAAATACGAATCCTTTGAGTCGATGCTTTGGTGGAAAAAGTCGGCATCTGTGCTAGACTCATCCAGGCGGACATCTTGAAGAATCACAAAGTCTTGCCCTCTGCTACAATGTTCCCCAGCAGTGCTCTCCCCTTGATCCTCCAGCTGTATATAATATTCATTCCCATTAGATGACTTCTTTGTGTCAAACACTGGTACAATACCAGGAATTTCCATTGGGGCGTGACTGTTTGCTCCAGCCTGCTTGGTTAAAGGGTCAGGGAAATGGGCTTGGATGTCCTCCTGGGAAACAGGGAAAAACATGCTGTGGTAGTTCAGCGTTGTGTCCATGCCTGAATGGACATGGCTGCCATCGTAGTGGTCATGCTTGGCTGCCTCCCAGACGTATTCAAAGCTGAGGCCTTTGCTTGTTTCTGTGACGGTGAGAATTTCATCAATCTCTTGTCGCAGGGCATCATCAGCAAACTGGTCCAAGATGGGGAAGGAGGAGTGGCTGACAGTGGTCTGGCGTGTGGACGGGTTGGGCTTGAGTGCATCCCAGCGTTGGTCAAAGTCTTCTTCCATGTCTTTTTGGCCTTGCATTCGAAGATAGATGAGCAAGCGATGCACTTCCTCAGCGGTTGCCCGTTTGTCAGGGGAGAGCCAGCAGAACTGTAAGACCTCATACCTGCGGAGACATGGACAACAGGCCCCTCTTTTCAGACTACACTCTTAATCAACGCTAACTATGCCTTCTGTTCAAAGAACAACATTCCAAAGACTCACCATCGTTCAGAATAAGGAAGCTCCAGCTGTGGCTTAAACAGTTTGAGTTGCTGTTCCTTGATTACGTGATTGAGAACCTCCCGGTCAGACAGATGTGGGTACGGCTGAGTGGCGTTCTCTAAGAGCTCCCACAGCGTGACTCCCAAAGCCCTGAAGACAAGGGGGAATGAATGAAGTTCACCCTACTTAACTGTATTCCATATACAATTCTTCTAGTGTTCTTATATTTTAAATCACAATGACCCAACCAAGAAAAAAACATCACTTTTAATTTGATAAATAGCAAATCAGACTATAAACTTCAGAATCCAATCCCCCAGTGAAAAAGTGTGGTAGTGTGGTATTAAGGTCTAGTGAGTGAAGGATGTAGTGACATCTAGTGGTGTAAAGTGCAGACTGCAGCCTACTGGGTGAAACCTACATGAGGGTGTCTGAAGAACACACTGTACCATGCTGTGTTGAATGTCCTTTTGTGTCAAAGAAAATCTGACATTTTGTACCCACCACACATTGCTCTGCTTAGTCTGCTCCATAGTGATTACACCTCCATGGCGCTCTCCCACCAGCTCAGGAGCCAGCCAGCGAAGGGGTGCAAACACATCATCCTCTGTGATGATGTAATCCTCCTACAGAAACGCGCACAATGCAAAAAATGACAAGAAAACGCTTTAATCAGAAATAGAGCACGAAACTAATAATAAAAAAAAAATGTATAACAGAAGCATTTTAGCTGTTCATAATGTCTTGTGGAGGGAGGACACCCTGACTTTGCCTCCACTTTCTTTACATAAATAGCTTCAGCGGGTGACCTTATCTTATGAGTATTAAATTCAGACTGCCAAACTGACAGGTCAGCAGTATTTCAGGAATGCAGCAGACAACTGCTTGGGACATATGCAGCATGTCAAGTTACAGTGAGGACAATCTAGATTCTTCAATGAAAGAGTGGGTGACATCTAATGAAAAAGACTTATTTTTCAGTCAGGTCATCTGGGGCTGGGTAAAAATAGCCAGGCCTGTCTCAACTAAATAAAGCTGAGTAGTTTTAAACCATCTTGAGATGGTAAAACAACTGCCAGTACAGTAAAATGAAGCAGGATTATATCAAACCAGTGACTGTATAGACTCTATAGTTAGGCCTCATGTGAAATGGCTGTTGTGTTATTTCCAGACAAATGTATGCATGAAAAAAAAACATAAACCGGTGTAAAAGGGATTTTTAAAGCACATTTATCAAGACACATCCTGGTATCACTACAAAAAAGATCCACAGTTGAGTTTTCAACTTACTTTGTATCTGTAGGGTCCAATTCCATAGTCTCCCACTTTGACTGTAAGATCTGCAGTCAGGTAACAGTTCCTCAGAGCCAGATCACTATGGGAACATACAGGAAGAGCATCAGCAACGTTCACTGGATGACCAGGCAGAGAGGTTTGGAATTTACATGGAAATAGTAACATTTTGCTGAATCTTAACACAGGACCTCAGTTTTATTTAGCTTTTGCATTTAAAAGAATGAGAGTCATGTGCATTTAAACCTAATGTGATGTCACGCTGGATTCAGAGAAAAGGAAGCCTGGCATACACACACATTTAACACGTCTACAGAGTATAAACCTGCACAAATTTCCCTCTGCCCACCACATTGCATCAGACCTCATCCTGGGGCTATTCCTATCTAAAGTAAACAGCAACATGATGTGGTTTGCCCGAGGGAAATACAGACCGGGCACCCTTTTTGTTGGTATGCCAGGAGAGACCGTAACAAGTTCTGAGAAACGGCCTGTTAAACAGACACGTGGTGGTTCATTCACAGTGACCTAAGCTCTAATTTCTTTTTAGCCATACAGGATTTCCTGTGCTCCAAGTTCTTTTTAAACAAATTACAAAGTCTACTGACACTAGTAGACTGGGTATGCATGGTCCAGTTACTGTCAAACGCACTGGAAGATGAATGAAGATGCTTTTTAGATCTTCTCTGATGCCGGTTAACAGCCTAACGTATAGAAACATGGCAGCAGTGAAACAAGTAAAACATCGTATTACAGCATAGCATGTAGTAATCAGTAGTAGATGGTCCTGTCCACAAGAGACACTGAGACAAACATTAACATGTTAAATGACGATGACCAGAAACACACCACTATGGCAACACTAAAGTTGTTCAGGAACATTTTTGATCTTGGAACTATCCAGTCAAAACCCCAGGGAGTGTGTGAAAAGGCAAAAAGACTGCTGTACACCAGAAGATATGTGCAGACTGATGGGGCTAAATGGGGAAATCTTTGATAAACTGGCAAAAAATCCTGGTGGCATGATGTGAAAAAAAAAGCTAAACTTGTAAAAACAGCTTTAAGAGCTGCAACTGTTATAATTGTTGCTACTACAGTCTGGTTCTGTTAACAACAACAGTAAGCAGCTGGTGTATTTCCAGATTTGTATGCAAATCTGAAGCAAATATTGCAAACAGACATGCATTCATATGCCATTTACTCATGTGGGGTGAATAAAGCAGGCTGGGACAGAAGGTGGCAGTAAAGGTTACATTACACAGAGCTGTTCTAAGGTACCAGTGTGAAGGGGGAGAAAAGGTCATTTTGGCTGCAAATGGTCAACTTTTTAATATTAGAATTAAAATTTGAGACATGACGCTTTGGAATTTATTCTTCAACATCTCAGAGTACACAAGCTGCTTGTAAAAGACCAACGCTCCCAAGATGTAAAGCAAAGGAGAAAGCAATGGCCAGTAACAGCTGCAAGGAGTACAAACTCCCCACTCACTTCTATATGCATTTCTTTTTCAGATAATTAGCTGCCAGCATCTTTTACAAACAACTAAATCTATAATCCATTCCTTCCCCTTGTACACACACACAGGCAGATTTGACTCTTTTCAGATCATTCTGACCTTTGGAGTGACAATCTGATGCATCATATTGAGATATTAGCCCACATGGCACGTCCCCAAAGATATGTTGCGTCTGTGGTGAATCACTAAAACAAACCTCTCCCCAGTATTGAACTTGTATTGTAAAAAATAAAATCTAGCTTAGTGTGTCACAGAAATATTTTTACGAGTATAAACTATATTAGCTCAAATAGGGGGAAGCGTGTAAAGCTCTCCCGCAGTTGTAAGAAGGATTAAAACACAACGCCCAATATGAGGATCTCCTTTTACATGCAAAGAGCAGAATCATCATATCCCTCTGGCAGCAGACAGCTGACACTGTGGCAATGCATGGGAGCTGTGTAATTGGAGCCCTCCGAGCTTATTCTGAGCATGCAAAATAGAGCCGATGAGCAGAGCATCATATGTTACCCCCCAAGCCTTGAGTTCCCAACACCAGCCTGTACCCCTGCTGGCTGGCAGCCAGATGTCTGGTATTGGCTGGGGTAAAAATGAAAATGAAACGCAGCCTCTTAGCTGTAGAAACCTTTTTTGGAGAACACCAGTACTCCTGAGACTGGCTGGACAGTCAGCACATAAGTAAAACTAACAGTTGACCTAGCTCTTCATAATCATAGGTTTACGACTGTGTACTCACCACATGACAAGCGCATAACATGTAAAATTACTATTTGTTTATTATAGAGAGTGGCTTGAATCAGCCATAAAAGACAGTAATACCTGTAATTCACATTATGTTTAGGGTTGATTCAGCACAGAATATTACAGTCAAATTAAAGTCAAATTAAAATCTGTAAAACAAACGAAAAATAGAAAAAGCTATGTGAAGTCAGAGTGAGGGATGGCTTTTCTCTACCGGGAAAATCCTGTTTTAAATTGCGGCTTCATTAAAAAATAGCAGGATTTTTGTGTCTCGTGTCTCTGAAAAGAACCATCTCTAAACAGCAGCGGCGGTAAACAGCGAGAAAGACACATTGCTTAGGTTAGTAGATCAAAACTCGGTGAGCTTGCTCAAGTGTTGCAGTTTTGAAGTGCTACCTGTGCAGGAAGTTGTGTTTGTGAAGGTGAGTGACACCCGCAGCAATTTCGCAGGCCATCCTCTGGAGCTGCAGCAACTCAGCATTCCTGAACATCCAATCCTGCTGAGACAGATAGCCCCGCAAATCCCCCTGCAAAGACACGCACAGATATACAGACAAGGTGCCGTTAGCCCATCAATATCAAACCCAATTTGAACAAATCCAAATGAAAGCTGTTTTTAATACAGCAAAAGGAATAATTGAACAGCAGGCCTGTAATCGCATGCAGTGAGCAGGGAGCACCACGTGGGGGCAGCAGACCCCCCCTGTCCTCTCAGCACTTCTCACTGCTGATGCGCGACAAAACCAAAAAAGGCTAACGCCGTTTGATGGAGCTCTGTGCTGTGTCACAGTGATTTATAAATAAAAGGCGTCAACCTCAGACCAGAAAAATAAGCTGCTCTGTAGGGTCTGAGTATAGAGCAGAAGAGCTAACAAACAAACACCTAAAGGACTTATAACAAAAGGTGTCCTGGACAGGGCTTTTCACTTTTAAATCATACACAAGACAGACATTAAAAATTCAACTCAGAATTACAGAGACAAGTCAATCATCAAGTGAACAGGGAACAAATCGTTAACCTCTACTGGTATGTCAAAAAGACTGTAAATTTAGATTTCAACAAGGTCTCAGATGCGGCAAAACTCATAACAACCGAGTGGCTGTCTATCACCAGAACGTCTGTATATGACTTCATACTGTACCAAGGGGACTTTAGAGGGCTCTTTTATTTACCCGGGGGTTTAGTGGAGTTAATGTGTGTTTGGGTATTGCGTGTATGGACGTGCGTTTTCAAAGGGGTTTAGTTCTCACTGGTGCACTTCTTTACAAGGAGCTTAAAACAATCATCTTATGTAAGCACTATTTGTTTGCTTCATCTACATTCGCCCCTGCATTCACACACACACAAGCACACAAATAAATGGACAAAAACGCCTGCGCAGCTCTGAGAAGCGGTCTTCGCTGACATGCTGCCCTCAATGTATGGTAAATGATACTGTTGGCTATCTTTACTTGTGAAGCTTGTGCAGCAGGTGATTAGTTTAGGTTCCAGCTTGTACTTAATTAAACAAACATCTGAGGAGCCAAAAATATGCCCCCCTCGTATCAGGTCGTGCGTAACCACAATGCGGCTAAATCAGGTGTAGCCGAGCAGCTTTGTGATCTGGTCATGAATGGAGAAAAGGACAGACATTCGGGATTTTTTTTAGTGCGAGTGGTTGGCACTTGCAACAAGCTTAAGTTTTATTGCTGTTAGCCTATTAAGTGTAAGGACAAATGCAGCAAATGGGCCTCAGAAAGCTGCTGGAAGTGTAACCAGTTTTGAAAAGGCAGATTACCCGGCACTCATCTGGCACCCCAAACTAGCGAAGGGTCTGACCAATGTCCTGGAAAGGCACCACACTGAGGAGCTCTGCCTTACAAGTTGTCACTCACTCTACGGTATGCGTCATCCCCCTGCACCAGTTGCTGGATGTATTCTGATGTCCGAAATTCTTTGAGTCAGGGTTACCCAGCACGGGCAATACAGGGCGGAATAACCACCATTAATCAACAGGCGGCCGGAGACGTCACGTTTTGCTGGCTTTTTGGGATTGGCCTTGTTCACCGTGCAGCCTCAGAGTCACATTTCACATTAGGACATCCAGTGCGTGACTGACAGGGCCAAGCCAGAGACGAGGAATCATTTACTTTAAATCTAAACAGAAACCATCAATACTTGTTACTACGCTATCTTAGTATCACTTTCAAACATTACGTCAACTTCACTTGCTCAAAGGATGGAACACTTATTGTCCAATTCGAGATTCCCCTGAGAAGAAGCGCTCAAAATTCTTCATCCGACAAGGGATGACGAGCATAGGCATCAATCAGTTGTGCTAACCTAACACATTATCACCTTCAACAAACAGGAGCCTCTCTTCCCGCTTAATGACGTGCGGTAAGTCATTCACCTTGAGTCATGTCCATGTGCTGTCAGATAGATTATGGGAGCTGGCTCAAAGGACCACAATGCCAGGACGTCTGCCAGGTCTGTGCAGCTGACAATACCCCCTACCCAATAAGATTATGTAAGGTCTGGCACCTCAAGTCACACCAGACTCAGCCAGATGTCATTAAATCAGAACAAAATAGGGCAGTGTGTTGATCAGGATAATCAAAGTATCTTCAAAAAAAGACTTTAATTTAGCCTTTTTCCATTAAAGAAATAACAGCAGTCTCAACCAGGCTGCAGACTGTACGGCTGCACAGGGCTAATCAACACCTAAATAATACAAAGACGTCTAACACACCAGATGAAAGCGACATCTCATAACAACTATGTTGACAAAGTTAATATAGTACATATACAAATAATAAATCATGATCGTCCTGTAGACTGTAATAGAAATCGTATTAATCTTTAAAGATAAAAAAAGGAATAGCTTTGGTTGGTTAAGTCTGCACCCAACAGCCGCCAACATCCACAAGGTGTTGGCCATAAAAATGCACAAACACAGCAACTGGCAGAGCGGACACCAGAGGAGTGTAAATGGAGCCTGTTGCTTAACTGGGCGAGGTGGGAATGTGAGAAGTCCCAAGCTTACAGTAGCTATGTGACTGTGACTGGAGGAGGGAGAGAGGAGAGGAGGAAGGGAAAGGGTGCTCCTTCTATCAGGGAAATGTATATTTTTTCAAAGATAGAGAGAGCGAGCAAATCAGCACCTGTGATGGGTCTAATGGGCTGAACCGGCTCTGCAAAGTGTTTCTGAACAGCTCTCACAAAGGAGCGACTACCCGCTTTCACAAAAAATCTGGAGCACAGTTGCCTTTCGGTTTTACTTTTCCAGTTGGTGTTTTTTTGCTCTGCTTATTAGCTTTAGTGGACACTGTAAAACAGAGTGCCTAAAACAACGCATGGCTAGCATAGACAGCTGTTAAATGCGCAGTGTTTCGTGTCTGTAAATTTCTTGTCCCGGTTACCTCTGATGACGCCTGCGCCCTTTCTGGTTCAGGCCCACGTCTAAACACTCAAATAGATTCACAGATTTGAGTTCTTTTTTTCTTTTTGGAGGACCGTCCATTTGTGTTGAAAATATGTCCATCACCGGAGGCTGAGAGCTCCACAAACAGGTACCCCCGTGAGAGTACTACACATGTCTGAGTCACCTCAGTTTGTGCAGGAGCAGGGGGGTTTGCCTTCAGTTCAGGCGGCCCATAAGAAGGATCAGCTCATTGCTTAAAGGACAGTATTGCAACGGGTCTTGCCCTGTGAAGATGTGAGTTTCCCACTGACAGGTGCCAAATCTCAGAATTCTCAATTTATAAAGTTTTCTATGTAAGAAGAATTACCTTCTTTTTTTTAAATCTGCTATTTAATGAGCACGACTTCACAAAGATGGCAAAATCCTGTTAAAAAGAAATCATTCAGCCAGTCTGTTCAATTTCCATAAAGATGTGCCGTTAAACTCAGAGAAAATCTCAGTAAGCAGCTTTCTGTGCCCCAGCAGATGCCTGACTGTGTGTATTGCTCAGCATGCCGTCACTCACCATTTCACAGTATTCAAAAACAAGCAGGAAGGGAATGGCCTCAACACACTGACCGAGGCACTGGAGGATGTTTGGATGCTGCAGCACTCTGGAAAAAATAAACACACACTTATTTTGACCATATTCAGTGTTTTCATATCATTCCAGACACATGAATCAAAAAGTAGATGAGTTAAATCTAACTTGGTATTAAAAGATCTGAACATCAATGTTAATAACATAATGAGAAAGCTGTAAATACATTAATAAAAAATAAGTGAAAAACAAAAAATACCTATATGGATCCCCCTGTTGTAGAAAATCATTCTGTTCCTTCGCACTTGCATTAGCTTTTAACTCCTTCACCACCACTCTGGTTCCACCTGGATCTGAGTAGATTTCACTCAAAAGGACCTAACAGCACAAGATGTAAAAATAAAAAAATTAAACAAAATAATTAAACCACACAAAAGGCTAAATGATGGCTATTCCAAACATAACTCAGCACATCTACAGTTTAATACTTTCCCCTCTTAAAATTGAGAATAGGTAAGAAAAGTGACGTTACCTGGCCAAACCAGCCGCTACCAATCTCTTGGATGTAACTCAAGCTGTGGCGTCCTACCTGGAAGCCGGTGGATGCCTCTATCGGACCAAATTAAAAAACACATGTTAATCAACCGGCCTATGAGCTTGAGCTCAACTGGCTGTCATTCTTGTCATTCTGTCATTGGGGAAAAATAAATCTGCGTGTAATTGACCTGTAATGCTGGCAAGAGGTTGTAGATGCGGGGGTCCAGGAAGGAGCACTGGGGACACAGCGAGGGTGTAGACCTCGGCTGGGGACTGCATAGAGGGCGTGTCCTCTGCCGGTGGAGTGAAATCGATCTCATCATCAAAGTGGTCTTCGAACTCCTACATGGAAAAAACAAATACAAAAAGGGGATATTGCTGTGAATAACACGGCTACTGAACTAAAGCTGAAACTAACAAACTCATCGTAGTCCATCTGCCTGCTGTGCAGACAGGAGAACCTGTCAGCCAAAGCTCTCACCTTGAAGTTGATCTCCCTTTCCTTGCAGCAGGTCACGCAGTTGACTAGCAGCACCACCAGGGCCACCAGCGCCGTCAATGACACCCCCAGGGACAGGTACACAGACACAGCCACTCCGTCCCCAGGGCTCCCGCCTCAAATGAATAAAACACAGAACATGCTGAATCACCTGACAGCCAGGCTGAGTTTGAATCCTAAGAAAACAGCAGATGACAGATGTGCTGGCTCCTCTCTGAGGTACAGCTACAAAGGGGCATGCAAGCCGAACAAAAATAACCCGCACAACTCTTAGAAAGCAACTCCTTGAGCTTGCTTGTGTCTTTTGTCTGCGCTCCTGAGCATCTAAAGGAAAAGCAAAGCGGTGACACATCATTCGGGGCACCGCAAAAACTTTATTATTATCGTTTCCAACGACTATTGCAAACATGGCATGACAGCAGCTGCGTTATCTCAGTCCAGATAAGCCAACCTCTGCCCCTCGGGGCGCCATAGAGGCAGCCGCGGGGGCGTCCACGGGCCAATTAGCAGCTGAGAGATGAGTTCGGCAGCGGTGGCAGCAGGTGTGGCTCTTCTTGAGCGAGGATGCTGCTGGCCCAGCAATTCAAGCATCAGGGCAGACAGCAGCCTCACAGCACCCACTGCTCACTCACTCCGCTAAATGCCAAGACACATCAGCAACCTGAGCCTTTTGTTGGACCAGCACTGATCTAAATAGAAAAAAACACATCAGCCAAAAGGAAGATCTGACCACACACCCATCATGTATCAAAACTATATCGCCGTGCCCAGGGGTTTTGAAAGAATGACAGGAGCTTTCTCTTTTCCCTGCATGTCCACCTTCCTTTTCCAAATGTCACTGCTCATTCAGCACTCTTCACCTGACAGTTATGCTATGACTAGTGTTCGCTGGACAGTCAAAGGACATATGGGTCAAGGCTCAATCGTGTTTAATGGAAAAGCAGCATAAGACATTCTGAAAGCACTTTTTTTAATGACTTTTACAATTGTTTCCAATCGAGCAGAGCTGTCATGCATGTAGGCATAATAAGCTCTGTAAGTGGAGCGTGCTCAGGAGGTGGAATGTAGGACACTTCTTATTCTTTCCCAGTTATTATGTCAGTGGATATGGCTGGTCTGATACATCCAGGCTCCCACAGTTCACCTATGAAACAGTCTCGTTATTTACTCCTGATAGCCGTCTTGATATTTTGGGTAAAATTTAAAATCGGCTTGATTCTGATTCATGGGGTCTCAGCTGTATGCATAAACAGAAATATAGACCACAAAAGCAAATGTGAAAACCAGTATTCAATACATAGGTTGATTCCTTGGCTGAAAAGGCATGGAAAGGGACTCATCCTTTCATATCGAGGGCAACCTCATGCTAAACCCCAACTTTGTTCAAATAAATGACAGAGAGAGAAAAAGAGAGTGTTTACCTACAGAAAAATCATATCAAAATATAAGCTCCATTTATTTAATCACAACATTCTTTTCACCAAAAATCTCTACTTTTGATATAACAGCATGAGGTTTTTTGGGACCACAAAACTATGGGATGCTGGAACCTCCTTTGGTTTTTACAAATGACAGAACAGTGTCTTCTATGTAAAACGTTCATAAAAATTAACACTGAAAAGTTAATGTTAATTTAATTATAAAATGACATTGGAATTGGTTCAATTAATTAGATTAGTGATTAAAAATCAACCGTTCATTAGTGATACTGTTCAGTGATTAAAAGATTAGGGCTACTGATGTGTTGTGCATTAGGAGTGCAAATCAGCTAAAGACGTTCTGAAATTCGGCGCTTGATGATTAAATATGATCAGTGGTCCTACAAAACAGTCACAGCTAGTCACGTTGTGTCAAGACAGCACAACCAATCAGCAGAAAGGCTGAGCTGCAATCACTAACAAATGGGGCATCATCCGGCATGATCTAAACTGTGAGGAATTAATGAGATGATTTTCAGGTCGCCAACATAACACCATTAACAACATCATGCAAAAGAAAATTACAACAATAGTTTCCTTAGGATCCAAGTAAATTTCCCTGATATTTTAATGAAAGCACAAGTGTTTGTTTTTTTATCTTATGCTCTCCCTGTGGCACAGAAAACACTAAACTTGCCACCAAAAAAATTGCAAATGTTACAAACTGTGCACCCCTCCAACTGTAAAAAAGAATCAGACAAAGAAGATTATGTCTTATATGAAAATATATACTGATGACTGTGATGCAGCAACACCAAGCAAACATCATTAACTGACAGCTTTCCATTGGATGTCTCCTAAAAACCTCTGAGTCAGAGACTGCAAGAGGGAAACTGCCTGGGCTGAAATATTAATGAGAAGAATTATCAAAGATTAAATACATCCATGGTGAAGACACCGGCTCCAGCTATAAATGGACATAAATGCAACAAGCTGTTCAATTAATGTGTCTGATGGTTTGTGATTGAGTTCAAATAAAGGGCTCTTTAACAGGCATCAAGCAAATGTAAAATTAGAATAAAACGTAAGAAGATGACAAAGAAAGTCACCTACAAAAAAAAAAGCAATTTCATAGATAACAGTAAAGTCCATTTCAACAAAAGATTTAAGCCTAACTATGTCATGAGATAGGGTTGGGATGGGAGCACCATCAAACTACATTAACAGGATGATAAATCAAACAAACTGCCATAAATCTATTCTGACCCTGGTCCACTGCTGCCTTATATTCAACTGGTAGAGACAATCATGACTTAGAAATGTTACAGTTAAAGTTTTATGACAATCCCGTGAAAAACACGTGGCCATAACCGGGGGCAACCTTTTGATGGAAGCGCACTCTGTCTGATTCAGCAGGGTAACGGGGATGGAGGCGACGCCAGAGCTGCTGCCAGACGGGAACAAGAGCGACAGCGGGCAGCTCTGCATGGCATGAGTTCTCCCATATTAAACTTTATTACAGAATTGAGTCCACGTTATGACTTGGCCGGCCCCACAAAACGGCCAAACTGGTTTTTGGGAGCGATACGACAGGGAGCTGCCATGTCTTATTTCAGTTGTACTGCATTTTTCATTAGGCTTTCAAGCCGAGGAGGAGCTGACCCATTTTTCCAGATTTTGCCCAACAGTGCGCACAAGAGTGGATGTCTGTGCTCATTTATAGACAGGACAGAAAACACATGATCTGACTGATATGTCTGGGTTGGTCCAAGACGTGTCCATATGTGAAGGTCCTCATCAATCACAGGAATGGTCCAGGTACACAAGTCACAGAGAACTGACACGTGTCTGTGTCGTCTTTCTACCTGTCAAATTTGTACCCACCAATACATGCTTTCTTCTCCAACGGACTATGAAGCTCTTTAAACACTGCGTGCTAAGTCTTTTCAGAGCCAGCCTGAAGAAGAGGAGCAGCTGATATTTGTCACGTCGGAAAAGCTAAGCATGCCAAAATCACCTGACCTCCATATAACTCAGACTCTTCCCCTTAATACTTAACAAGGTTTAAACAATAACCAGTGTGTGAACAAATTACTTTGTGAATCAGTACTTTGCCTATGTTTCATTCACACAATGTCCTCCAAATTCGTCAGATGAAATGAGGTTCTTTGAAAATAATGAATAACTAACTTGTTCCACATCTGAGTGTAGTAAAATCATTAAAATGGAGCTTAGATTGTTACTTTTTTCTTTTCCGTATAGTGTATGACAGTAAAGAGAAGAACTCTGTTGCTTATCACTGTCTGGAGCTGATAAGATTGAAATATGCATTGGTTACAAATTACTGACACACCCTTTAGCCTTCTCACTTTGGGATGAAGTCACCTCACAGAAAGAAGCAGTTTCCTGTAACAAAAGGGGCCAAGGAGAATGGATTTCTTTCTACTGATTTAAAACAAACCATTTCTTTATTTCCGACAAGATTTCTGGAGTTCAGAAAATCAGCTGTGCAACTTATGATCGCTGTGTCCACTGCTTGACCCCATACAAAGTGAAAGAATGACCTTCATAATAACCTAAACCTAATCGATTAACTATCAAACATGACATTTAAAAAATAACATGAAAGAACAGCAACTTTAAACATCAAGGACATAATTCAAGGTTCCCTTCACGAACAACAACATCTGATGCTGGTGGGTCAACATCAACTTTATTGTACCATGACCCGGGTTAAAATGTCAGGGCGGGGAGTAGCCGCCTCAAGGACAAGCACAAAGCAAAAGACGTTGCTGTATGCTTTGGGTCAACTGTTCCTGTTATGTAAAGGAGTCAAACATTAACTTAACAACATTTGAATTAATCAGACAAGCGGGTATACCCTTTAATACTTACTTATTGAGTAAACAGGCAGATCTCCTTATACCTCTATATAAAAAACCTGTGACCCACCATAATTGGAACAAATGCCTGTCCCTGAACTCATGCTTTCTCCATGTGTTTCACATGAGATGTTGTATGTTTCCAATCATTCTCTATTTTTCAAACTCTGCCCTCCATTTAGAGACAGCCTTAGTCTTAGTTTGAGCAGTCTAAAAAATGTCTTTTACAGACATTTTCTGGCTTTTCAGGTGAGTTATCTTATTTGTGTCGCTGTGATTTGTTTTCATTTTATTATATAATAAAGTATCCAAGTCATTTGAAAACACCATTTGGTTCGTCTTTGTATCCAAGATCAATCTGCCTACTTTGGGCAATATTAAGGATGGACTGTGTCACAGTGACTGTTTTACACACACACAAATGCAACCCATGGAGAAAACTAATTATATCTGCTGAATTTTATCCATCTAACTTCCTAGATAAACAACCATACCCTGTACAACTCACTTTTAAGGTCAATGTAGGATAACCAAAGAAATATTTTGGATAAAATTTAGGGGGGCCTGCCTCTGGCAGTGGCCCCCCTAATAACCTGAAAAGCATGTTTTTGGGCTGAGAGGACGATGGGTTTCACTGAGAAAATAATGTATCTACGTAATTGAATGTAAACACACTTAAAATAATTCAGTTCATCAAATATCTGTTACTTAGAATTAAATATAAGTCAGAAATAAAGAATCCCCGTGAAAAACGCATTATACCTCACAGAGAAAAGGTCTGCTTATGATTAGCCACCGGTTTACTGATTAGCTAAATCCTGACTTTGAAATGCAATTGCTTACTGTTTATATATATACATCCTCTGTAGAATTTACACAGAGTTGAACAGCTAATTAGTTAACTCAATGACCATGGACAATAATAACCAATTGTTTGGTCATTTACCCAGGTAAGTGCTAGCTTTTAGCTGCTTTAGCTAAAACCACTAATTCAAGCAAATGCTAGCTTACATAAACACATAAAACAGTACGCGTTATACATTGACAAGACAGCGTTTCACGAAGTACAAACACTCATCAGTTGCCTCACCTGATTTGTGATGATACTGTAGAGGGAAACCTTCAGACAACCAAAACACCGACAGAAAAATCCAACTCGCCATCAACAACACAGATCCATGGCGGCTCTCCATCCTCCAGGCTTAGCCAACAAAACGTTAGCTAATTGAAATCGTAGTACTAAAGAAGTAGCTAAAATGATGCTGGTTAAAGTTTCTTAATCATTGACAACCAGTTTTACGCCAGTGTAGGCTACATATAAAAGCATATTTTCGGGTTGTTTAGCAGCTTGCTACTCGCCAGCTAACTAGCTTCCGCTAGCATGTCGAGGCTAACAGTTTCAGCTGACGACAGCAAACATCGCCATGACAAATAATGTTCCGTTCTCCACGGAGACAAAAGCAGCGATCATCTTTCACGACCTGCCATGTTTGGAGTATGTACCCTAACGTTATGAAAGTGAACACACTAACAGAACATTTAATCGATAGCTCTGACTATCATGAACCACCTCTCATCCAAAGCGCCATGTTCCTGTACAACGTCACATCACGGAGCGAGGCGGAAAACTCCGAACAACTGACATTTTTTCAAACCAATCCAAACGAAGAATTCCTTCACATTAAATCGACAGAGCCAATCGGCTTTGAGTTTTATTATTGGTCATATAATTCCAGTGATTTGAGTAAAAGATGAAGAAATCCTTTTACATCAAGTCACTTGTCAACCATGTGAGGCACGCCATGAAAGACGGCATGCCTATATAAAATGTTTATTCCTGGATTTACGGCCAACCATAAACTACACATTCTATGGCTGACAGGTTACCATGACTGTTGCATGGATACAGGCTCTGGCTCGGTGGTTCTTTTTCCAATGCATTTTCCCATCCAACCATCTGATATTGACTTTATATTGGATGAAAAATAAATTAAATATATATGATTTTTTTTTAATATATAGTTTTTAAGATTCTAATTACTATTATCAAAATTGTTCTCTATGCTTAATAGATAACCGGAATATAACCAGACGTACAGTATATGGGTGTATGTGTATATACATATGTATGTATGTACATATGTATATATTTGTGTTGTGTTCGTGCGTATGTACCTTGAAAGTAATAATTTTTCAGTTCTTCCACATAAATATGAATATGGGGAAAAGATGTAGGGCTAAATATTTTCCCTAAAAAATATAATTTGCTATGTCCACATGTATATAAGTTATATTCAATATAACTTATGTATAAGTTATGTATAAGTCAGGTTAAAACATTAAACCTTAATTCACGTTAAATCACATTAAAAACAGCGACAACCATCTAGATGTGAAGCAGAATGTGAAACAGAAAAATAAGAATTACTCATTACATTGGGGAGCTTTTTATTATTACAGTGTTGTTTAATTTCAGTTGTCTGAAAGTTTGCAAACTGCAGGTCTATGAATGACAAAATTATCTGCTCTGATTAACTGATGAAGGGGGAGGAGGCAGTTCGCGGCGTGGAGGAAATCTCTCCGGGTTTAAGGACAGACACGTCAGGTTGCTTCTTGCACTCTGGATCACGAATCAAGCGAGAGTTGGTGGCTCAGGCGCACAGCAAGAGAAGCATCAGATCTGCACATCCTCAGCTCAGAAAGTGCAAGCCTGACACAAAGCACCGTGAGTACTTTTTTGTACATTTATGTGCACAGTAGTGTTGTGATCAAAGTGGGCATATCACAGTGTGTGCAATTTCTGTAAACCTCTGTTCTTAAGCTTTGGGAAGCTAAGGGAGAAAATAATAGATGTTAAAAAATTATAAGAAATCTACTAGACTATTAAACTTACTACTCCTCTTAACTTTCATTTTAAGTGCTGATCCTAACAGGCAACTCATGAATAATCTTAAGTATATTACATGATCGCATGTTTCTTCTACTGTACAAAAAGAAGTCATAATTACCATGTTATTGTCCTCATTGTCAAAATAATACAGTCTTGTTAATGTCGAAGCCATCTCTTTTTTCCTCCAC